GATTTAAGAAACCAAATGGCAAATTTCCACTAGAGAAGTTCAACGTGTTTGTTCAAGAATAAGTTAAATTCTGAACTAAAGGATCCAGAAAGTGTCCCATAATGAAGTCCTTTATTTTACCAAGTAGATATTTAGATAATGGATACTTAAATATTTCAATGTTTATTTTAAAGCCTGTCCATTTCAGATTAAATTTGAATTTTTCCTAGCTGGGGAATCTGCATTATTAACTGCCAGCTAAAAATAATACAGAATAAGAACATCATTGGAAACAAGTCAAGGCAAGACAGAAACATGAAAGATTACAATTCTGTTCAAGTTCCCTCTTTGGGGGTAATAGAATTTTGAAGTGAACAGACACTCTAGGGGTACACCACTTTTTCCTCCTTTAAGTCTGATGATTTTATTTTTAGTAAACAAGTATTCTTAAGATTTTTCTAGTGCTTTCCTCAAAGAAATAATTGGAATTGCTCTCTTTCATATAACAATGGGAAATAACAAGGATGGAATGCTCATTTTACTAAACCTGTGCTTACACTCTTTTGTTGTTAAATCAAGAGGATGAATGGCTAGGATCCTGTGTTTAATTCCTGCTTTTTCAACCCACTTTCTGATACATAGTAGCTGGAGTTCACATGCTGTAGTTAGTTCACTGTAAAATTACCTTGAAGAGGTAGTCAAGTCAAGGAGTTAGAAAATCCATGATCTGAAGGAATTTGAGCTTCTTTGTTTTGTGTATTGTAGTATAATTGATTTTCTTTTAATCACTAGTATTAGAAGGCTTTAATGAACCTTAAAAGCTAATCATATTGTGATAGATTTTCATTATGGGGTCATTAAATTTCAAGGAGTCAGATTTTAAAAATTCATTTGATCCCAAGGTAAGTCCCAACTTTTAGCTCTCATCTGACCTTGGGCTCTACTTGGGTCTACCCCTAACTCGGTATTGATAGGACAAGTCCACAAACACTTCAGGATCTTTGATTCATAGAATTTAAATATCCAACCATGTTATTTAAAGTCAGATATCAATTAGAACCATAAGAATCAAACTAAGGCTTTTCTAGTAGACTGTCTCTAAATATTTAACACTTATAAAATATTTAACTAGTATGAACACTTTGAGTCTTCAGAAAAATTTTATTAAAGAAATTATTAAATTTGTCTATAGGCTGAATTAAATACAGCATAAACTATTAACTATTTCATGTAAGTTTTTCAAAACCTTTATACTTCTAAGCATAAAAAATACATTTATAAGTTCTTATTTCATCTTTTTAATGTGAAAGAAGTTGAGAGGCAGGAAATGAGTACTTCATTTCAAACTTTTAAGGGAAAATTCTAGAAAATGGACCATCAAGGAAAAGTAAGATGTGTTTTTATTAACCTTCAGTAGCTCTATCAGACAGTGTGAAGCTTGACTCATTCTTCCCAATTCATTACAAAGACAGGATAGCCAAGTACTCAAGCTCACAAAGTTGGCAACAATCTTCAACCATGGTATGGACTTTTATGACATTTCACCTTTCCATATAATGCTAGTCTCTCCAACCAACTATTGTACCTACCATACCTAATCCCTCTCTCCAGGATCCATCTGGTTAAATATTAAAAACACAAAGCAACTATAATTTTGTATAAAGGCTACTCCAACTGCCCTGAGCAGAACTGTTCCCTGGATCATCTTCTGAGCTGCTAAGACATCTTAGTCTTAAAGCATGTACCTTTTTGATCCTACCACTAGACTATGAACTTTCTCATGGTGATGAATCATGTTGTACCTAACTTTGTATCTCCATAACCTAGTGCAAATGCCCATATTTGATTATCAGTAAGTGCATGAATAAATGAGAAAAATTCCAACTTGGTTTTGCTCGAAGATACCTCCCAAGATCTTTTTTGCCTGTGAAGTATTTGAGCTATCTGTAGAGACTGTGAACCATCTCAGATGTTTCCAACATGAGATTCAGTTTCAAAAACACATAATTTGTAGATGCTCCAAGGTTAGGCATGAGCAAAATGTGTAGTATACCTGTTCACCACTTAGTGACTTAAAGAATGTTATTTATAGACCCTTACATCTATTGGTGGGAATGAACGGATACAGATTTTTGGAAAGCAATTTGGTAAACTATTTAGGCAAAAACTTTTATGCATAAATTTTAGTTTTCAATGAAGTGTTACTCTAAGTTGAAAGCAAAATATATAAATAATTACTTAACAAAGATAATAAAATTCATTCGATGGAATACTAGGGAGTTTTTATTTTATTTATTTATTTTTTATTTTTTTTAAAGATTTTATTTATTCATTTGAGAAAGAGAGACAGAGAGCAGAAGCAAGGGGAGAGGCAGCGGAAGAGGGAGAAGCAGACTCCCCGCTGAGCCAGGAGCCAGACATGGGGCTCCATCCCAGGACCTGGAGATCATGACCTGAGCTGAAGGCAGACACTTAACCATCTGAGCCACCCAGGCACCCCACCCAGGGAGTTCTTAAATAATTTGTATGAAAGTGCTAATGTGACAATATTACGGGCAAAGAAAATTTTTATATACAACATGATCATAACTGTCCGAAAAGTTGTATAGGAAAATGCTGATTAAAACAAAAATATAATGTGGAAAGATTTCTTTTTACTTATTAAATCTGAATTTTCTCCCCTAAAACAAAGTTATGTTTTTTTACTGTTAAGCAAAATTTTAAAAACTTGAACAACAACAAAACATACTCTTAATCATCAGGGTATTTTTCTAAATAGAGTTCTAAAATATTAAAGTTGGAATGGAAGTTAAGAACAGTGGTTTTGACACTTGTCTGAGAAAATTCAGGTCTCCAACAAGGTGCCTGTGTGTTTGCATGTGGTGGGCAACGTATAAAGTTGCAGCCTCTGTCCCCCACCCTCCAATCCTACCAGAACACCTCTACTCTTACCTATTTTATTTATTGTAGGTCTGTCAAATATATTGCTTGAAACAAGAATTCTGCCAATAAAATCAAATAAGCTTGGAAACTACAGTTTGGGCACAAAGGTTTTAAGTTACAGATGAAGACACTGAGTCTTAGGAAGGCTAAGTGACCCATGGTTGTTCACTGAGATTAATGGAAGTGGGGTAGAAAATATTAGGCCTCTTAATATTCCAGTTCATCATTGTTTCCATTACACCTAAAGACATGCTTTTTCCTGATCTAATGTACCAGCCTCCTCTGTAAACCACACATTATTCTGTGGGAGGAAAAAAATCAAATCAACTTAATCTAGAGTCTTAAGTGTCAAGTCAGGACCTGTTTTCTTGATTAACTCATCTAAACCCATCCAGCGTGTAGCAAGTTTCCTTCTGAAACTCAAGTTCACTCTTGACTAAAGCTCAACACCCTCAACAAATGCATAAGTCCTCTTACATGGTGAAATGTGAATTTGCAAACATTCAACAAATGAAAAGAGAAAGAGAAAATTGAAGTTGGTTATCTAAAACATCACTTCTATTATCAAACCACAACAAACCGAAATGATATTTCTGATACTGATGCTTTCAAAAAGATCAACTTTATTGAGGTATCATTTATACACAATTGCACAGGTCAATGAGCTTTGATAAATGTATACACTTGTGTAACGACTGTCACAACAAAGGTAGAACACATTTCCATTACCCCAAAAACTTCTCTCATGCCTCTTTCCAGTCAACCTCATCCTCACCCCAGACTCGAAGCAACCACCGATCTCTTTTTGTTACCATTGATTTGTTTTGCCTTTTTAATAATTAGCTATTACTGAGGCTGTTTCCGTGTTGTTCCAAAGGCATCAGTTTAATAGTATGTTATATATAGATTGTACCATCATCATGAAAGCACAATTAGGCAATAGCTGACACTTGCTATTTAGTTATGAGTCACATAAAATGCTAGAGAGGTCTGAACACCAGTCCGTCAGCCCAATGGTTAAAGAACCACTTCAGGCAATGTAGTCTCTCTGTCTCTAACTTTGGAATGGGCTGGATCCAACCACAGGCTCCTAATATTTTCTCCAACCAGCATTTTGCATTAAGTCTCATACTAGAGAAGATATCTTTTCCCTTTTTTAAGTACAAAATGGAGTTTAAAATGTGACCCTGCTTTGAAAATAATTGTAGAGCCTGTCCATATCATATGAGAAGGACATTTATGATCAAATATGAAATGACTCTGTTTCCCTCCCCACTTCTCATATTAAAATATTGCCAATTGGTTTTCAAGATTTTCTCCTACGGCAGCAACTTAAAAATAATTTGGATATCAATTTTTTTTGCTTACTGTTGTGTTGTGATTCTTTCTTCTGTTGTCACAAGTATGAATATCAGGTAATGGGCACCATTCATTTTTGTGCTTAGTAGTTTTCCTGGGGTGCCAGTGACAGGAGAAATGTATGCATTAAAACAAGCGTGATGAAAAGCAGCTCTCTTTATAATTTCAGCCCAGCTGCTGTATTGATGGATACAATCTCTAGCACATGCTCCAGGTGGCTTCTAATGCCTGACTCCCTGCAGAAGCCTCTATTTGCACATCTTAAACCACTTATTGGATTTGAACAGGATTTTTCAGCCTGAGTGCAGTAACAGTGTTCACTTGTGTAATATTTGTAAATCCTGGCTTTACATTTCACTCACCAAACCATCGTCAGAAGACATTCAACAGTGCTTTTGTGCATCCCCGATTCTCTTCTTTGGATTAGATGGTGTCCATTTTGTGTGACTAAAAAGTGCATTGATAAATATATTTCTGTCACTGGTGGCATGCACAATGAAGAGCGACTCAATTAATCAGCCTTCTCAAATGGTGCTTTTCTTTATCTCTCAAATTTATATAAAATTCATTGAAAGGTTTTGTAATCAAACTGTACAAAGTTTAACTTTTTATTCAAAATACATATCTCAAAAGGCTCTGCCCAACGCATTTGTTTTTGCTTAAACTTCTATTACTATTGTATCAGTTGCTCTGAATTATGTGCTTAGGACTTTTGTTCAATGCTGACAACAATTTAGTATGACACCCTATAGCGTGCACAGCTCAAGGCTTTTAAAGTTACAAGTGGGAGCTGGCAATGACTAAAGCAAATGCCCTCCTTTAGTTCAGAATGAAATACAGCACAGCAACCTCCAGGCAGATATTTTGCTCTGCTCTTTGTATGCAAGTAATACAAATTTCAGGATTTCCAAATATAAAGGATATCTCCGCTCACATATCTAAATCGTGCAACATTTAAGAGACTTGTTAATAGGTTAGTTCACCAATTAGCAGGAACGACAAATGCCTGTGATTTAGAGGCAATGCCTCACATGTGATTATGTTGCTGAGCCACAAAGAAACCTTATTTCTTAGCTGTACGCCACTAGAATTCATCGTACATCAACATATTTGTAGCTCTGTGCCTCTAGTTTTATTTGAAGGATTCCTGTCCCTGAAAGGTTGGGCTTCTTGTATCTGAAGTTCTCTTCCTAGGGAACACCATTGGTATTCAGAAGCACTATATGTCACGTGGTTAGAGCACAGCATCTCTGCATCCTCTGTGCAGAATAAAGACATATTCTCCTGTTGAGTGATGCTTGCGAGTTGGTATTCCAGAGCATTTGGCTTGAATTGTGACCCGAATTCAATTACATATATGTGCAATGTGGATTATTACAACAGGATACTCTGAAGGGTGCTGGGGAGATAGAGAAACAAGAATCGTGACCTAATGACTGCGTTTAGCTTTGGAGTGGGCTTACATCAGTGTCCTTTGCTGAACTCTCAAAAGCACAAAGGGTAAGCATGCCTGTGTGGCCGTGGACTGGATATAATAAACTAAGGAGCCATTATACATCTTGTGGGTCAAAATTCTTGTGCTAAGAGGGATTTGCATCCTAAGAAGAACTACTCCTTTACCAGTGGTACCGTCTGCCAGGTTCAAAGTCTACTTTCTGAGAGATACTAAAACATAATATTTTCTGTAAATCTTGTATCTTCACAGTTATTAAAGTATTCATTAAGTATATAAGCCTAAGATAATTCCGAATAAGTTTTAGGACCTTTGGGAGTTTGGTGGGGGAACGAACAAATAAAGCGCAAGAAAAAAACTAATAAAACATGAAACAAGTAAGCATGGTGCTTTTTAGTTATGCAAGGTCCTCGCATGTTATGTTGTGAGCTAGGTGCACATGGATATGCTTACACTATATAACTTACACAATCTTTGCAGTAAAAGTTTTAATGGATTATGTGGGACTTTTTAAAAATAAAGCTCAGTGAAAACCCTGCCTTCAAAGTTATTCGTGTATGAGTATAAAGTATGTTCAACTGCACAGCTACACATTTATATCTGGCTCTCCACATTCTGAATTGACTACCTGTGACCTATTTTACCGCCATATCCTGCTTTTTTCCTCAGTCACAGTGGCCTGAAATTTGTCAATTATATTATAATTACCCAACCATATGATTTGGCATAATAAAGTCACACATCAAGAGTAAGAATCCATGACGAGTAAATTGGGCCAATAAGGACTTCACATTTGTTTCTTCTGAGTCTTATCTGCAACTGAGATAAATTTAAAATAAGAATTCTATTTTCTCTGGTTGCTGGGTACAAACACACCGAGAGAGACTGGCTTCAAACTAAGCCAATCTTAACCATTTGGAGAATTCCAGAATACTGCTCTGCTTAAACCAGAGCCATTAGGCAGTGATGTCCTTACCTATCAGTTGTGACATACTTTGCTTAGGATGAGATGGCACTTCTGACACATTCCTCCCTCACATGACAGTCACTTAAGGGAACTACCCGGACAAATTCCACTGTATATCCTTGGCATTTGTGTATTTTTAGTCATCCCAAAGATATTGTCTTGCTCTACCTTCTCCACAGCCTCATGATAGTGGCCGCTAAACACATCAAACTTCCAATATGGACAGGTCAGCATGTCTTTCCAGAAGGAACACACTCATCACCTCATTATCATTCAGCCAGGCAGAGGAGAAAAAATGCTTCTAATTCAGAGTAGCCTAGACAAATGGCTGTTAAGTCTTCTCACTAAAGACCAGTGAGCAAAAATGGGAGGGTAGAACCCTATAATTACTCCAGTGCCACAAGCCAAGATAACCACAACATTTTAGACAAAATAATACAGTGAGAGCCACCATGATATGATGAGAGACACTTAAGAGGCCTGATTTAACTGCCATTATGACCAAATTCAGTATTTGTGAGGATTCTTATAAAAGGCACTTTGCCACTCAGTGCCACTATGCCCCCTGCTTTTCCTTAAGACACCATTACATTTAACAATTTTTAATAAAGAAGAGTTTTGAAACCTGATTTTAGTTATGCCTGTTTTTCATAGTCAGTCATCCCTCTGCTACACATAAGCATGGGCACACGCACGCATGTACACACACACACACAACCATCAAACAAAACAGCACAGAAAAGAGAACTATGCATTCACTAAAACACTAGATTCCATACATTGGCCATGGGATTTCTACTCTATCCAAGGCAGAACATAGCTTCCCTTTGACTTTGCAGCCTTCGTAAAACAACTCATCGAGCCACAAAAATTTGCTTCTGTTCATCATGTACAGACAGACCCATGCTGGTACAAGGTATATTAGAAAGCAAGAATATGGCACCACAAATAGCGACCTATTATGAGAATGGCTCCCTAAGCTGCTACCTTAGAAGCTTCTCTTTCCCATCATGTTGCCTGGAATTTCAGTTTTCCATCATAATGGGTGTCCATGCAATGGACACCACTCTTAAAGGTACAATCTAGTCTTCCAAGAAATAGTACTCATTATGGCCATTGAGAAGTTCCCTTACAATGAGAAGTTGTCTTAAATGTGCTTATTCGAAAAAGAAAATAACTGGGTAGGGGGATGTACTGGTGTACATTTCTATAGTGAAATCTATGGAATCATGATAGAATATAAGAATTAGTATTTGGTAAAGTCTCCCAAACAGCAAACAACCCAGAAAAGGGTAAGAGACACAAATACAAGTCAATAATTATAGAAAGCAGTTGGACATAGGTGTATTTAGAACTTAGTGGCCTGGAAGTAGAAGTGCAACATATGTGAGATCTGCTAAATGAAAACAAAGCTTGCAGACACTGCAGAGAGGTTAGAAAAATATGTGCATGGGCAAAATCAGCCACTCAAGGACTGACATTCTCATAATTCCTCATACTCCTATGTAATTCTCTTTACAACACCCCTATTCAGTGATTGGGTACAGTTGTCATTAATACTATCTTCTAGGTACGTTGTGGAATTGTCCTTCCTAATCGCCTTATGTTTGCAGTCAAATGTCTAGTTCTTGCCAATGAGTTGTAAGTAGAAATAATGCATCACTCACAGTCTGCAGCATTTGTTGTCCATTCATAAATTTCTACAGCACATTCCTTTTCCCTCAGCCATGATGACTGGGGAACATTCAAGATGATGGTTGTTCCATCAGCCTGGGTCCAGGTGACTCAAATGGTCAAAACATCCCTCCTAACCCCTGATGGATACAGACCATGAAAGACATTGTTTGGAGTCCCTGAATTTTAGCTTTTTTTGTTATTGCAGCATTTCCTAGTTTTTCCTGATGGATACAATAACCTCTGCTAAGAAAAACTCAGTGATCTCAAAGACATTATTTTAAAAGGCGTCCTGTTCCATTTTTGGATTTCTCTGAGGTTTAATTTTCATCTTTCTTGTGTTGAACCTCTATTTGTCTTCCTATGACATCCTATTACAAGCATAGTTTTATTTCTGGAGAGTATAGAAGACAAAACTAATTGCCCTTCACATGATTACCTATCATGTTCATTTAGCTGTTCATTCAGCACACATTATTGATCATCTATTAAATGCCTGGCACCAACAACAAGAATAGAGTCCCTGCCTAAGAATTCACTCAAAGAGGTTATTCTTAGCCTTATGTGTGAACTCCACAAAGTGGCAGGCAATGTTGCTGGAATAATGAGCCAGACAACCATGCCTGTGCTGGCTGGTGCTTTAGGGTGGATAAATTGCCTTGGTAAACATTATCCTACCTATTATTATCATCATTACTATTTCTGATAGCCTTCAAAATCTTGTAAATAGAGAGACTGGAAAGATAATTTTATGATTAGCATTATTATTAGCCACCTTTTAGACAGATCAGAAACAGAGTCAGAGTGGTTAAGGGATGTGTTCATACCCTCACACCTAATAACTTTTGAAGCCCACGCTTACCTCCCAAGATTTCTAGCTCCAAAGAATGCACTCTCTCCAGGACCCAAGCTTCTCTGTCACACTCTTGGGGAGTTTCACTGGACTGGAATGCCAACCAACAGCAGACAGAGCAGACATTTCCAGTCATAGCATGATCCAGGGAAAACTGTTGGAAGAACCAAAATAGACAGTTTGCTTTATCCACCAGAAACTGTAAAGAACTTTAAAGATACTCTAGGGAAATCAGTACTCTTGTCATTTTAATTTTTTCTGTCTTTTTACATTTGTTGTTGTCCATTTTTTAAATGCCCCTCTGGCATATCTTGATAACGGGGCCTTGAAACAAGGATCACTGCAGAGTGTAGGTTAGGCGAACAGCCTAAGTGGCCTAAGGTTGAGAAGAAGGTTTCAAGCCAAGAAATAGGATTTTTGAGAAAATTATTACAACCTTTGTCCACTGGCATCTTTGGTAAAAAGCTCACGTGACATTGTGATGGCCAGAGCTTTTCCTCGTGACAGCACAGTCTGGTGGAATATACATGCTTGGTTGTTTTCGTACATACTCCCTCCTCACCACCCCTTCCCTCCCATTGTAGCTGACATGCTTCCACACATAAAAATTAATGCTCCCATTTCAACTAACTCATTTAGCAGGAACAAGTTTGTAAGCCAAAGCAAACATGGAAGGAGGGAAAGAAATAAAGCATAGACAAGAGGCATGAAGAGGGCGTTTGGAGATTCTACAAAATGAGGACCAGAATTACCTACTTTACAGCAACAGCAACAACAAAAACATTTTTATAATTTGTTTACTGTTTTTTAAACTGGTATCAAATTGATGCTAAGTAGCTCACAATAACAAAGTAATAAACCAAAAATAACCAACATTAAAATCAGAGGCAATAAATAAAGTTTATATTAGAATTACCAAGATACAAAGGACATATAATTTTAGATTTTCTGTTGGGTATACATTTTTTCCATTAGAAATTTTGTCTAAAGAGTAATCATTCTAACATTTTTTTTTACCCTTGCCCATTATAAGCTTTACAAAGCATCCATTCTAAAATTGTCTCTCGTACCGGCCTCAACCAAAATAGGAGTTTAACCTAAAGTGCTAATTCTTCTTATTGTCATTTCCTTCACCTTGAAAAGACTGATATTTTTAACAGTTATGAAAGCCCCTGAAAGAATATGCTATGGCCCTTCAATTACACAGGGAAAACTTGGTGGGTGGTTTGCTTGCAGAATAACAGGAGACTAGCACACAGTAGTGTGGGTCATTAAATAATAGATATGGAAAGTATAATTTTAACATTTTATATAAAATGATTTTAAAATACAAGGATAATAGATAATCTAAATTAAATGATATTCACATTTGGAGACTGCATACTTCCTACTAGATTTATCATTTAGCTGAATGTCTAGCAACAATAGCTGATTATTAGGATTACAACTACAGGAAAATGATATTTAAAATCATCTATGTATATGTTTAATGAAGAAAATAGATTAAGTAATTTACTGGCTATACCTATTTTTGTTCCAAAAATTAAAAATAAAACCTCATGGAGAAACCCTTAGAGATGTGAATAGAAGGTAAATCAGCTGCCCGGACTACGCCCATCCTGAGCTGTGCCCAAACACCACACAGAGTTAACCTCAGCATTGATACGTTGCCCTGTTCCATCAGTGTTCTCCTAGGTCATAGAAATAAGGTGTATTTTTCTCCAAAGAAAAAACAAATTGAAAATTTATATCTCTTCCCTGTCACATCCTATTCTCTTAAGGAGCCAAAGCAAAATATATGGCAGAACGAATGCAGGGCCCAGTATTTTTATCCTTATGTATGCCGATCTGTAACTGCAGCAGTAAAACTTTCCAAAATCAAATGACCCTTTTTATGTTGACTTTTATTTGTCTTGTATTCCAATTGCAAAGAAAGTCTATAAAACAGTTGCACTCTGTAACTTGCGATACTCAGTTTGAGTTGTCAAAATAATGAAGGAATGGCAGTAGTTTAAAAACAGATTTGTCTGTGACCATTAGAGTAGGTGAGAGAACTTCATTATTGAAAGAAACTATATTAATAAATAAAATTTATCTGGACATAATTTCTAGGCAATGAAAAACAGAATTCAGGACATTCTATTTTGTACAATTTGATTTCTAATTGAGTGCTTTCTAAGATGTTGCTTAATGTCAAAGATTAATTTATTCAGTTAATTAAAAAAATATTTTCCAATGCTTTGTATCTTAGTTTAAAGTTTAGAATTTTATTTTAACATGTCTATAATCTTTATGAGATAAGTGAATGGATAATGTTTCATTTAATTTTAATTTCTCAGCAAGTGACTACATTGTATGATTAGCAAATAGCACAATTAGGAACATGTCAATAGAATATAATGTTGTGAGCAAATAGAGCCCACACAAATTAGTGTGTGGCACATTTCACCTACACAAGTAAAGTCACAACCATACTGCATGGTAGTCATAAAAATTAAGCAATTTATAATGTTGACTCAAATTCAGATTATGTTTACACATCAAAAGAACATGTGTGCAGTTCCCCTTTTCAGATATTCCTAGAGAGTTTGTTTGCTTGTTTGCTTGCTTTCTTCATTTGATCATTTATTGGCTTGGGATACAAAAGTTCTTTTTTTTTTACAAAAGTTCTGACCACCTATCTCAACTCTGACACAAATGTCCCTGCTGAGCCTCTCTTTCCTTATCTGTGAATGGCTGAATTAACTAATCCTTAAACCATTTCTAGATCTATGACTCAAGAATACTTGATTAGACCATAATGTCTCCATCTTTCCCAGCTATAAAATGTTAGGTTTTTCAATACTTCATGCTCTTGAATTCTTACAACAGTAGCTAACACACAATTAATCTCTCAGAAAAGAGTGCACACTCAGTAGCCAGCTCCAAAATGACTCCCAATGATCCACACCCCCAATATCTATAACCTTGTGTTGTCCTGTCTCAAAATGAATCAAGACTGGTCCTGTGTGTTAGAATGAATGGGGCAGAAGTGTGACTTCTGACAATGGGTCATAAAAGGCACTGCAGCTTTGGCTTTGGCTTCTGGGATCACATACTCTGGAGGAAGCCAGATGCCATGTGGTGAGGGCACTGAAGCCACCTTGTGCAGAGGCACTCAGCCAACGTCCCGGGAATGTGGATCCTCAGCCCTAGTAGAACCTTCAGACAACAGGAGCCCTCTGACAGCCATCACATAACCCCAGTGAGAAATACCCAGTCAAGTCCTTCCTGAATACCTATCCTAAAGAATCTGCAAACATGGAAATAATTGCTTATATCATTAAGGTTGGAGTAATTTGTGACATAACTATAGGAATTGGTATACAGGAACACAGGAAACTTTTTTCATTAGGCGGCAGCAGGAAGAAGAGAAAATTATAAAAGGGGGAGACAAAATACCTTCCTAGCTTATCAATTCTGTATTACTCTAAAGAAAATAAGTTAGATTTTTCTTAGTGCGATTCTGATCAGTAGATATAATACATATTCAGAACACTCTAGTCACCACATATTTTGAGATATGTGTTTGCACAGAGAAATCACAGTCACTAAGATGTCCTTGTTAATCAAGGTGAAATGGGAGAGGCAGGATTTCGTATGATTGTTCCCAAATCTGCCTCCTCCATAACCACCCGACACAACTCTTACACACTAAAGACAACTGCTGTTGAGGTTCTTTGACTTTCTCAGCCTTCTAAAGAAAGTGCTTTTGTTCTCTGAAACTTTCAAATTGCAAAATCAGGAGGAAGAAGGAGGGACAAGGAAGGTAAAAGTCAAATGGAACAGGGTATATCAAAGACTCTCCAGGAAGTTTGGAAGAAAAAGGTGTGATGGCGGGTGGGTTGTGAGAAAGCCGGAAAGAGAAAAACTTGGGAGGATGGGTGCTTTGTATTGGAACTGCCTTGAGTGTTCAACAGACATAAGCAAAAAATAGGATTTATTGTATTGAATTATTTTTGCCCAATTGAACTGCACGCCTTTTAATGCTGTTATTCCAGCACTCCATGCTTTATAAATTCTCATAATGATAAAAGTAAAAAAGTATGAAATGCAGTGGAGGCAGAGTGTTTGAGAATCCTGCCGAAGGAGCTGCCAACGGTCCTAGAGCCATCACGAGGGGTCACAGAAGGGAGGTGACTACCAAACCAGGAGGGAAGCACCTGCAAAGTATGGGGGTAGAAACTCCAACTAGATGAGAGTAGATGTATGGAAGTGGAGAGAGACAGGCAAGGACCAGTCTGGAGAGGGTTTGTGTATTTTGCCTTTTTCTTCTGGCTGAAGGCTCTCAAACATTCATTGGTCCATGGAGTGGCTTCATCAAAATTCCCAGGGTTAGACTCTGAGCTCATCAAATGCATACTGAACCAACATCTTCAGAGACAAAGAGTTCGACCAGGTGAGTGTCATGGGCAATCTGGATTGGGACTTCTGCTGAGGCCATGCAACACTATTAGATTTTTGAGCATGAGAGTAGTATGATCAGGGATGTTTTTTGGAAAGCTTATTCTGGATGCAGCGCAGATAATGAGCTATAGGGAAAAGAATCAAGAAAGCTAGAAAGCAAGGAAGGAAACTTCTCAGAATTTTTGGTGGTAAATGATTAACCAAGGAACTAAAGCAGTCATGCTGGGGATGTAGATAGAAATGGAAAAAAATATTGCTGGTTTAGAATCAATAATTGTTTGGGAATAATAGGATGTGTAATTTATATATTAAATCTTCAGGGACCCCTTCACTGTACCCCCAAATCTTTTATGTCTGGCACTAACTAAAAGTCTTTTAAAGAGAAGAAATGCTTTTAGTTTATCATTATTGAAAAGGGCTTAAAATCTAACCATGCCTGGTTGAAGAGACACAGTGCAAATCATTCACAGACATACAAATTTAACTAGAATATCAACTAAAAAGTATGATAAACTGACATTAGATTATTTCTCCTTTAAGTGAAATTGATTACAAAGTAAGACGATACTAAGAATAATAAACATATATTGCAATGATTTCATAATTTTACCCACAAGAATAAAGAGAAGTTACATCGATTTGAAGAGATATTGATCATCAATATGGCAAATACCATCTTCTTGAGCTCAAAATCTAAACCTTCATTCA